CGACCCCCCTGACCCGGAGAGAGGCACTCTAAACAACCATTTAATAAAATGTGTCTCAATGACTCCATCACAAATTCTCTCCAACATCACAACGTCTCATGGGTTTTATTTTTTTTTCTTACAACTATTTACAAAATGGGCGTCACGATAAGTCTGCACACAAATCAGTTGTGCCACTTCTCAAAACAGTTTCTGTCAAGGAGAAGGCACAGTGGCACATCACATCGCTTGCATTTCCATGAAGTGTCTTTCCTGAGCTTGTCCACCTGGAGGCAGTGTCTGCACTTCCGTCTGACTTTGTTTGCCTTTTGCTCAGCATTGATGGGCACAGGAGTGTGATCAGTTGCCCTGTTCTTTGGCATACCTGTCATGTCCACACCGCAAAGCTGACTGGCGATCACCACGATGAAGTCTTTGTGTGACATGGGCTGTTCCCCTTTGGTGGTGCTCAAATGACGGTGCAGGATGTAGGCGTTTGTTGAGGCAATGTCAATCAAGTGCATAAACACAGTCTTGTACCAACAATAAGTTTTCCGCTGTGCAGAATAGTACTGGATGAGCTGATCAGACAAGTCCACCCCACCCATATACTTGTTGTATGCCATGATTGGTGTGGGACATGGAATCTCTTTCACAATCCAGCGTTTCTCTTCATCCTTCATCCTCCTCTGCACCGTCTCGCCTGAAAACGCAGGGTGGATGGTCGAGCACACGGACACCTCCCGTGTGTCCATCCACTTCACAAAGACCAGTGGGTCCTCTCTGATCCATCGAATCGATCCTCTCTCACTTTTCTTAGTGAGAGCATTCGGCCTCTCTTTAGGACATTCTTTTCTGCTTTCCCTGTAGGTGCCACAAGCTCCAAACTTTGCGCGGGCTAGATCCATTAACAGTGTGGGACTGGTATAAAAATTGTCCATGTAAATATGGTAGCCAGTGCCAAGATAAGATGGCTGAATAAGGCTCATAACCGCATCATAAGACAGCCCATGCTCACTTTGAGAGTTCTTGCCAGTGTACAAGCTAAAACTCACAGTGTAGCCACTGACTGACTCGGCCAACACAAATAGCTTTAGCCCCCATTTGTTTGGCTTGTTCTTCATGTACTGGGTCATGTTGGTTTTTGCCTTTGTTGCCACCATCCTTTCATCAACTGCAAGCTCCCTCTTTGGGTGGTAATAAGCCTGGCAGGCATTGAGGATCTCATCAAAAACAGGCCTGAGTCTAAATAGTTTGTCGTAGCCTGGCGTTCCCTTCTTTTCGTCATTTTTGACATCCTCCTCAGGATTACTTAGGTGTATGTTCCACATAATGGTCCTGAACCTGTCCCTTGACATAACCTTAGCTGGAGTTAGCACAGACAAAAAGTGATTTTGTTTCCAGTAGTCCTGGACACTTGGTAGTTGCACCAAGGACATGTAGATCAAGAGACCCAAAAATTTATATAACTCATCTGTGTTTATTTTAACCCATTTATATTTCTTCCCACGAGCTTGATTTTTTGCAGCATATTTGTTTGTGTTATCACAGATGGTCTTGACTGTGTCAGCTGAAAAGAACAACAAAAAAAGTTCTTTTGGACTGTAGGGGGCCAGCCCATCTATCTGTGGTCCTGGTGTCCTCTTAGGCTGAAAACGGCTTAAAACGGGGGCCGTGTCTGCGTCCTTCTCGGTGTTCCACCGCCCCTGGCGTGTTTCTGTTGCTGCCTCAGACAGCGGGGATCTGGATCTGGCTCTCCGTGGTGTTTTCTGTGGCGTTCTCCGTGGTGTTTTCTGTGGTGTGGAAGTCATCCGGACAGAGCTGGTGGCCATCTCCTCCTCCTCCTCCTCTTCGTCAACGAAAATGGAGGGATCCTCTACCTGGAGATGGGAATAAGCTTGTATAAACTAGTGCAGTGTGGCTCTATTCCTATTATAATATTTTACTGTGCATATCCCATGCCAAATAAACAAATAAAGAAAGAAACTAACGAACAAGGGACAAACCTCATCGTCAGAATCGTCAAAATCAAACTCTGATTCTGAGTCCGAGTCTGAATCTCTCTCTTCCACCGGCGCGCCGTATTCCTCTTCTTCAAACTCATTGAAATACTTTCCCGCTTGCTCTGCAGTCACGCCACTACTACTCATTTTACACACGCACTCTACTGCACTTTTACTCAAATAATAACTAATCCAAACCACTTCCAGTATAATTTAAAATGCCGACTACGCTTCGTTCTCGCCCCGTCTCCTAAACTCTCTCTCAGAGCCGCTCACATGCTCTCCACACACATACAACAAACTTCTTCTTCTATGATGTTTACAGGCAGTGTACAGACTTTGTGTGTTACCGCCATCAACTGGACGGAGGTGTAATCGAGAAATTCAAATTATCCCACATCTCTAATAACCTAAAATAACTATATCTAATGTATATAGGTATAGTGAATCCTCTCAGTCTTTAAAATATTTAATAAGTGCTTGAATTTTATCTTGTGATTGTTGTGATTGATGTTTCCCTAATAAGTTAGCCATGGTTATTGAAATGTCTGTTGTCTCTCTCTCTCTCTCTCTCTCTGTGTATATATATATATAATTCCCTTAGGGGAATTGTATCCCCCTAAGGTAAAACATTACCTTAGGGGCTATCAGGCTTGCTGGAATATTTGTCCATCTCTGTGTTTTCAAATCGCAGTTTATCCACATCAAACTTCTTTCATGTCTATTTTTTTACTGTTTTACACCCCAACTGTCTAACAGCAAATAACCTGAGAATATTACAGCTAAATTACCCGGGGTGTCCAAAGTCAGTCCTCGAGGGCCGGCATCCTGCATGTTTTAGTTCTCTCCCTGGTTTTACACACCTGCATCAAATGATGGAAGGCCTAAGGAGAACACTGACTTGCTGAGGAGGTTGTTACTATCACTAGGGAGAGAACTAAAACATGCAGGGTGCCGGCCCTCGAGGATCGACTTTGGACACCCCTGCAACAGACAATTTAGAAAGCCAATGGCCTGCTGGAAGCATGGTGGCCTGAAAGGCGGCTCCAGTGCAACAGATGGGCTGAGTCAAATGGCACAAGGATTTTTGGGTTCATTTCTGTTTTGGTGTGACCAAAGAGATATAAAATAAATTAAAAATTTTGCAGTGAAGCATTTAGGAACTATATTAGATGACATTTTTGATTATCTTCATTCTTAGGATTAGTTGACATGTAATTGAGTTCTGAGCAAACCAAGATGTTTTACTATAACGTTATTATGCTAACGGCATAAGCAGCTTTTTCCCCCCAGTGTGTGTTTTACAGTTATCATAGCTTTGATACAATAAAAGTAAAATTATGGAGACTGCATGAGCAGGAAGGACTTATTTTGATTGCGGAGACTAGTTTTCAATCCAACTTGCACACTAGTCAGCAAAGAGCTCCCATGGCAGCCACACACCAGTTATGATTGGATCCATTTTAGATCACAAATTCAGAAAAATTGAGAGTCTTCAGATGATGTGCTGGTAATGGTGTTGGGGGGCGCAGAGAGACTTCAGCACAAAGTCACATGGACGTTTTGGAGATAAGATCGCAAAAGTGAAGCACATGAGAAAAAAAATTGGTATAACTTAAGCATCTGTTCTATATGTGTTGGTGTGGCAGAGCAGATCTCATGGTTTAGATATTCTGTCTTTGACAAAACAGTATTTGGTGTATTTAAACATTACATATTCAGCCAACAATAACAGATGTTTTCACGCCTTATTTGGTTCTGTTTGATAATTTCTTACATAACCTGCAATATGAGTGTCATTTTATTTAAATGTTGTCCGCAAAGAGGCTTTGTACGCATGCAAGTGTGACAGTCAGTTCTCTAACAGTTCTCTTCCACCACCTATTGGAGGACTTGTAAAAATGCAGTTATCAGATACAAATTCGTCAAACTGGGCAATAATTTGGTTTTAGATTGCTGTGTTGAAATACTTGAAGCTATTATCAGGCAATAGATTGAACTGATGAGACAGTTATGTTTATTATGCTTGATATTTGTTCTTGTTTTTTAATAAAAAAGTTGTAGCACACTTAAAGAAATACCATAACACGTGTCTCTAAACATTTGCCACTGCATATTTAGGCATTCACTTTTGGGTAAGCAATTCAACAGAGTCAATTTTCTTTTACGCATACCATCTTTTAAGCATATATTGTCCTGATTTCTGCCAGCACAAACTGACCTCACTAAATTGACATAAAGCCAGAACTTATATTGTTCCAAAATTTGCAGAATCACACTATTTTTGCCTTTATAAAACAACAACAGCAACAACAAAAATGAAATCCCTAGTTGAGGCAAATGTTTGCTGTCTGGAATCAAAGCATTTCTGGCAAAATTCAGATGTTTCTGTTCTGGTTCTACCTATTAGTGTTGCAATGGTGCAAGCAGTTGCACCATACGACTTATGTTTTATGTGATGTGAAACATAAATGGTGAATAGAAGCAGCAGAAAGTCTCACTTTTCTCACACTCAGTCCCACTTTTACATCTAAATTACAGAAATCTAGCTGTCAAAACATTACTCTGTCATTCAAACTTTTAGTCTATCTACAGTTGGCTTTCTAACAACAACAACAGCAACATGTGGTTTGGCCCTAAAAACTAATTTCAAGCTAATGCAACAAATATGTTTGGAAAATAAGTCAAAGTACTGATAATGTTACTCATGAACTGAAAAAAAGCCAAAGTTACTGAGCTAAATATTATGAGTAAACGTGTTTGATAAGAACAGTCCTCTCTCAAGTTTAGCTAACAGTTTTTTCATTGACCAAGTCTTTTTAAAAACCAATAATCACTCACTGACAATCAGCCTTCTTAATTTCAAGAATCTCACTCACTTTTCCTGCGTAGCAACTTTTTGGAGGGAAAGTAAAAGTGCTCACCGCACTGTATCCTCTTTCAAAATATATTTTTAATGGAAGTCTTTTATTTTTTTTGCTTAGAAAAGGTTCAGATTTCATTTCACATCAATAGGCAGCTAAACTCTAAGGTTGTAGATGGCTTGCCATTATGTAGACATGATAGTACCTTTATATTTTAGAGAGGTAAAACTCAAAAACTCATTATCTTTAAGAGCGGCATATCTTTAAAAAATGATAGACCAGTAGTAGTTTCTTTGTGTTATCTGCGCTGAAGATTTCTGGTTTATCTGATATTTACTCTCTTCAAGAGCGGCACTTGAACAGACGGCGCTCAAGCTGCTTCTGGTCCCGTTTTGTTGTCTTAAGAGCCTTGACTTGTGTAAAAAAGCAGCTGAACAATTGTTCTACTTAAACATATCTATCTTATGATTTTTTTAAAAATATGACTGTATCCCTGTTTTATTGAGCTGTATCATTAATTTGTGTTTTTTAAAATTATGTTTGAATTTGTTTACATATTGTGCATTTTCTTTGTGAAGATCATTGGGGATTTTGTCTATAAAAGTTTACTATTAACTATATGTTCTCTTTTTCTTCCTGTGTGCTCTCTCAATAATTTTGATAGCTTTTCTTTTCTCTAAATATATAAGAAAAACAATTCAATTTTACACTTGAATTCAGATTTCAAATGCCAAAACACAAACTAGAAACACTTTTTTTTTGGGAAAATTTATTTTGTAGGCGATACATGTTTGAAGAGATTGTCTTGACAATGAAGCTGTCCAATTCCCCAACAACCAGGAGAGTACATAAAAGAAACTGAATTACTTTTCACACAAACTGTACACTATGTGAATATATTGTATCACAAGGGTTCAACATGGAGACCCTTTGCCTTTGTTAGACTAAAACTGACTCCATGAAGCATCAGTAACAAAGTTCAAACCATCGTTACTAGTTGAAAAGTGCTTCTTTTTTTTTTTTCCACTAAGAGATGCACCGAGAAATCTCCTGTTGACCCAAACCCACCAATTTCCAGTTTCATCACCCCAGTCTGATGACGAGCTGGTATGAAACGTAAAAGTCCTATATATTTTTGATCATTGAACACACCATATCTAGCAACACTCTCAAACGTAGCATGGACACTGTTACTGACCAAACATTAAAAGTTAGCTCAATTTCCTATCGGAGAATTTAAAGTATCAGTGAGGTGTTTAAGAGTCACAGGAAGCACAGAGATTATAATAACCTATTTGAAATATAAATGTATTTTTTCTATGACATGTTGAGATACTAATGTGGTTCATTAAAGCCACATGACAGCACTAACGTTTGAGAACAGGAAGTCAGTACGACAAAGTTGCTCTGTTTTATGCCTTTGGATCTCAACTTGTGTCTGTAATTTGCAAATACTTGCAGCCTTTTGGAAACCTTGTCGTCAGAAAAAAAAGGATCTACATTATCTGGGAAGTCATGTTTTAATACTATCCAGGCTAAAGGCTAAAGTAAGATGTTAACACTAGGTAAAATGGCTAATTTTGTATTTAGTCTAGGTTTGTTTCTTTTGTAAATCCTCTTTCTCACACATGAGGCATGACAATGTCTTTATATTTTTAATAACTAAATAACTAATGATCACTTATGGCAGGGGGGCTAGTAAAATCAATACTTTTAGTCTTAAAGAGAAATCGACATTGATAGGCAGGACAATTTTAATCGGTGCATCTCTAGGCCTACATTTTTATTCCCACTATGCTTTACCTCTATTTTTTCATTATTATTATTAAAGATATGTTATTTTAAAAATCCCCATGTATTTTACACAAATGTATTATGTTCATTTTTGTTACAATTTCTTTACAAAGTCTTCAGTGTGTGCTTCAATTCTGTAAACTCGAACACACAGACGGCCGGGGCTCCTCCGGAGGAGCTGGATTAAATATCATGCTCCGAATACACAATGAAGACACTTCATACAATCAAACATCCCGATTAGAAACAGTCATCGAAATCTGTCTTTTACATATAAACCGCGGAAGCAATCACAGGGACTGAAGCAGATAAAACGTGACTGATTATTTGGAAGAGAATAGTGAAAAAAGAGACTGACAGCAGTCTGTGCAGTGTGAGTCATCTGAAACATAGGGGGAAGAACAAAAAAAACAGCGTAGCGTCGCAAGTGCTAGTCTTTGAGTGGTTTCTCCACTTTTATTTTTATTTTTTTAGGACCATTCTTTGTATAATAATAATAAAAAGAAACTGATGTGGCAGAGAAAATGCATGATCAAAAATATGTATAAAAAACGGGAGGGCCTTTTTTTTCAACCCTGATCTTTTGTGTTGTTGTCGTCTGGATCCTCTTCACTATCAAAATCGCTGTGGAGGGTCTTGGCTATAGTAGTGATGTTTCTATCCTCCTTCTTTATCTGAACTGGTAAAGGAGTCACTGGTTACAAAAAGGAGACAAACAGAATTTATTAAATAGTAAATTTTTTCAGGGTGCTGTTGCCAAAACAGACAAATCATGTTCATCATCTTCAAGGTTTCCCCCAGAAAACTTGCTAAGGCCGGCATTTTTTTGAGTTAATTTTTTTTTTTAAGTTGACAGGAAATTTGAAAATATCACTTGATAATTATGTGTTATTGGAAGATTAATATCTGAACACCAACTATAAAGTCTTAAACAATGCAAACATAAAAAAAACAAACAAAAAAAAACAACTTAGTCAATAATTTAATGCTAAGCCTCGTGGGGGCACAAGTAAAGTCTTTGTATTGGCTTATAATACACTGGGGGAAATCCTGATCTTTACAGTCAAAAAAGAAAAAAGCTTGTTCAGATCATTTTTACTAAAACTCAAAGCTCTCACCTGATTGGACGAACTGGTCTTCAGCTCCTCCGCCATGATTGCCGTGAGCGGCGCTGACAGTCTCCTTTTGCTCTTCGTCCGCGACAATTCTCTGCCTAGCGCTCTCAAAAACCGATTTGATGACGATAGAATCCTCGTAGATCTGGAGTGGACAAGAAGCAGAATTAATCAGAGCTTAAGCTGCTAGTCTGTCGAGTCGGGATCGAAAAACCCGTTTGTGACGACGACTGAGGAATGAAAACGAAGGTTAGCCGGTGAGAGAGTTTCTGAGCCTTCACCTGGGATCCCTCCAGGTTGTAAGTCTGTGCATTGTGACATAGAAGGAAGACATCCTTTTCCAAATCCCCAACGCTTCTGTACTTGTGGTTACGAACACGCTCCTGAGAAGCAGAGGGTGAAAAAAAGTTAATCTAGACATAATTTAATACATGTACAAGAGAGAATTTCACAAGTTGAAACTGGAAGTTTATGCACACTGCACTAAGATACAAAACTATTTTTCTAGCAGTTGGTGCTAAAATCTACTGATGTTGCCTTGAATATATATATTTATATATATTTCCCTTCTTATTCATTTCAATCTGTTAATCCACATTTTTCATGAACTGCTATGTTAGCAGTCACAATGACAATGAGATAAGTGTATAGGTCCAGAGGGTGCTCTGCGACACGTACTCTGATCCTCCTGAAATCCACGGGCTTTCGGATTAGCTCGTAATACTCCGGTACTTCTTTCTTAGAGGGAAGCTGCACAAAACCTTTACTGATCTGTCGTCCCAGCCTGCAAGAACAAGATGAGGTTTCAGATAATCTCATT